TCTTGGTTGGCCGTTGCGCCTCCGGCCAATCCGTCGTCAGCCCTCCGCGCCCCCTCCCCCCCTGTCGCGCTTCGCTGGGTTGCGCCGCGAACCCGTGGTGGGGGGCGCGGCGACGCAGGGAGGGCGGGCTGGGGTTCGGTGGCCGATGTGCCTCTGGCCAATCCGTTGTCAGAAGGGCACGCGCTGCCCTCCGCCCCCCCGCCCCTCCCCGTCGCGCTTCGGTGGGTTGCGCCACTGGCCGCGGCGGGGACCTGCGAAGTAGCGCCGCGATCTCCGTGCGACCGTCCGCGAACCTGGGGCGGGGAACGCGGCGGCGCAGGGGGGGAGGCCGAGGTTCGCGAAGGGGTGGGCCCCTGGGTGTGCGAGGGCGCTCGGGATGCTCAATCCCTTGGCTGTCCTTGGGCTCGGCCTGGGAGCCTGGAGTCTTGGTGCGTCCGCTGCCCCGGGTGTCTGGCTGGGGGCCTCTCGCCCGCGCGGGGTGCCCCGTTCGGGGTCCGCTGCCTCGCTGGGTTTCGGTTCCGTCGCAGTCGCGCACCAGGAAGCGCTCCTGAGGCCCAGCGTCTGAGTAGTTGGGGCAGTCGGCCCCAGGGCCCCCCGGAATACCAATGGTGTCTTGTGACGGCTCGCTTGCGCCATAGGTCGCTGGTCGCGCGGCTGGGTTCCGCTTTCCGGCCGCGGCGACGAGGGCTCTCCAGGGCGAGCGGCAGTCGCAGGACTGAGCCCCCTTCTGAAGCATGGGAGAACCGGCCGTGGCGACGAGGGATCTCCAGGACGCGCAGCGGTGCCCTGATGCCCCCTGCCTCCGCCCCCCCGGAGTTCTCTGACTCACCGAGAGTCTAGACGTGGCGACGGGGGCTCTCCAGGACGAGCAGCGCCACCAGGTTCGATCGTGGTCCATCCAGAACGGGGGCGGCCGGGCCTCGCCGCCTCTAGGGGGCTGGCCCGGGGCCCCCCGGGTGCGTCGCTACTCGTGGCAACTCCTTGAGACGCAGGGGTGATGGCGCGATTGATCTGCTGGCTGGGGTCCGTCGTGCTGCTCGCGATGCTGCGGCTCGGTTTCGTCGTGCTGCTCGCTGTTGGGCCGCTGGGTTCCGCTTCCCGGCCGTGGCGGCGAGGGCTCTCCAGGACGAACAGCGGTCGCCGGATCGACCCCCTTTCCGACGCGTCGGAGGGCCGGCCGTGGCGACGGGGGCTCTCCAGGACGCGCAGCGGTGCCAGGGCGGTGCACGCGCGCGCGCGCGCCTCGTCCTTCACCTCCCCATCGACGTCCTCATCTTCCGCGACCCACTCCCCGTCCTACTCTGGGCCCACGTAGTCCTTCGCGTCCCCTTTTGAAGCTCTCGACGATTTCCCTTTCCTCCTCCGTGTCGGCGAGCTTCACCTCTTGCGTCGCCTCGTCCGAAGGCAGCGGGCCTTGGTGGGGGGTTCTTTGATTCCCTGGGGATCTGGCCGTGGCGACGAGGGCTCTCCGGTAAGAGCAGCGGCACTGGGTTCTATGGAGGGCCCCGCGGCGCCCGCCGCGCGCTGGCCCAACCCCCCGGGGGTGTCCAACGAGGCGGCAGCAGGCGGCCTCGCGGCCAGCGAAGCGTCGGCAGCCAGCGCGGCGACGCGCGCCAGCGCGGCCGCCGCCGACCAGAGGGCCGCGCGGGCAGAAGCGGCGGCCACGGTGCAGGCGCCGGTCGCAGCAGCCGCCTCGGCCGCGGGGCCAGCCGCAGGGCCGCGGCGGCGGCGCCGGCGGCGGCGCCGGCCAGACAGCTGGGCGCGGCCGCGGCAGCGCCGTTTGCGATTGCGGCGGCGGCGGCGGCTCCAGCGCTCCCGGCGGCAGCGCGGAGCGCCGCGGCAGGGGCGGCGCCAGCCGCGGAAGCCGCCGCGGCGAGGGGCCAGAGCAGCACGCCGGGCGGCGGCGCCGCGGCGCAGGCCTGGGCGGCAGCAGCGCGCCGTTGCCGTCGCCGCCGCGCCGCGCGGGACCCCATCCGGCCCCTGCCCCCAGTGGCGGCGGACCCGGGTCGCGCCGACCAACCTTAATCCAGAGCGGCTTGAGCCGCGGGCTATGGAAGGGCTATGCAAACGCGCCTGGGGCCAAAAACGCGCGCCGGGCCACGCGTGCGCGCGGTCGTCTTGCAACCTGGGTATGCAATTGTCGACCTCCGCTTGTTTACTGGCGAAACTATATCTCTTCTCGCCCCGTGAAAGTGCAATATTGCCCCTGGGCCCCTCCGCCCCTCCCGCGGGATTTCCGAGGATTCCAACGGGATTCCAATATGATCCCAACGGGACCTCCATCGGATTCCAGTGTGATTTCGATCGGAGCTCAATTGCACGTCAAGTCGATGCATAAGGGCACGAGGAGGATTCCAATCATATTCCAATCATTTTCCAAGCTGAAGTCAGAAAAGAGTGAATCGGGATCCCATAAAGGCTTCATTCGGATTTTAATTGGGCTCCAATCGGATTCCAATGTGAACCCGATCCGATTCCAATCGGATCCCAAGTATATCTCAATCAGATTCCCATTGGATTCCTATCGAATTCCAATACGATCCCATAAGACTCCAATTGCATTCCAATAGGACTTCCAACAGGAGTCTAACGAGATCCCGTTCGGACTCCATCCGGATGCCTGAGGGCTCCCATCACATCCCAATCATGTACCAAATGTGATCCTGATCGCATCCCGATCGGATTCCAAAGGGGACCCAATCAAATCCCATCAGGATTCCGCAAAGGCCCCCTGCTACAGCCTTTCCCCCCCTCGCCGCGACAGAAGGTCGTTGCACACATCGATCCGGGGCAGGCCCGTGTGCGCTCGCCTCGCCTTCTCTTCCCCTGCGCCTTCGCCTGCCCTGCGGGCCAGCGGCTCCTGGGGGGCCGCGGCTCTTTTGCGTGCGCGAGATGTCGGAAGCATGCTCGAACTCAGTTGCCTCGATACGCGCGTTTTGAAACGCAACACGTCCCGTGTTCAAGACGTCCGTGTCAATGCGTTGCGTGTTGGCTCCACGGATCGGACCACGTTCTGGCGAATGTATCGCGTCGGACCTGCGTTTTCAGCCTACGTGTTGAGTTCCGTATCGACACGGTACGTGTTGCGTGTTGCGTATCGGGGCAGCCAAGTGCTCGAATTGTTTCTGGTGGGCGGGCGAAGCGTTCACCAAAACGGGTGTCGCGTGTGCGCATGGCGGCGCTTCATCCGTGACGAGCTCCTTGACAGGAGCAGCATTGCCCACAAGTTCCCTGACAGTGTCGACGCACATGTGCTCCGTGATAGGAGCGGCGCCTTGCGAACTCCTTGATGACAGCAGCCCCTGCGGGCTCCCTGAGACGGGCGCCGCCCCTGAAGCTCCTGGGTAGGAGCGGCGCCTGGAAGCTCCTGGATAGGAGCGGCGCCCACGAACTCTCTGGTAGGAGCGGCGCCACCCTGGCTCCCTGATAGGAGCGGCGTCCCCGAAACTCCCTGATAGGAGCGTCGCCCACCCGCTCCCTGATGCGGACTGCGCTTGGAAGCCCCCTGATAGGAGCCGGCGCCCACAGGCTCCCTGATACTGGCTGCGCCCAGAAGCTCCCCGACAGGAGCGGCGCCCACTGTTTCCTTGGCAGGAGCTGCCCCCCTGAAGCTCCCCGATAGAAGGGCGGCACCAACATTTCCCTGATGGGAGCGGCGCACCCGAAGCTCCCTGATGAGAGCGGTGCTCCTTGCATGCGCCGTGGCACGCTGCTCGCTGGGCCGGGGGCCGCACGTCGGCGGTCTTGCCCGCCCTCGCGCCACAGGGGAGGGGGCTTCCCTTCGGTTCATTTGCGACTTTGCTCAGTTTCGCTTCGGCTGGCGCGTTTGGGGAGGCGGGCCCGGGGAAAGGGGGGGAGCGGCGACGGCGACGGCGACGGGGATGGCGACGGCGACGGCGACGGCGACGGCGAAGGCGACGGCGACGACGACGACGACGACGACAGTGACGACGACGACGACGACGACGACGACGACGACGACGACGACGACGACGACGACGACGACGACGACGACGACGACGACGACGACGACGACGAGGGGGAGATAGGGGGAGCGGCGGCGGCGACGGTGACGACGACGACGAACGGAAAATCGCCTTCCACACGCCGGCAGAGTCGACGGATTTGGAGGAAACTTTAATCGAGATCTTCATGTGAATAGGAGCCACAAGCCATCTTGGTATTTCTTGTCATTCTTAAGACTTGTTTGTGCGGTGCTATGGCGAGTACCACGTTTTCGAACCGCCCACCATCTTTGTATTTGTTCGGACATGTGTCTGATGTAAGTGTGCGCGGCGCTGAGGTGTTAGCAACATGCTTAGTTACAGTCCTGTGCCCGCACGTTTGCGTTGCTGTTGGAAGCTTATGATATGAAGGGGTACCGCGTCAAAGCGAGAACCACATGTTGAAAACGATTCGGTCGCCATTCGTACATCTGTTCGGTTCTATCACGCTCAGGGTCATACGTGGTAAGGAAGTGTCAGGCGAAACGACCAACCCGCCCCATCGACCCGTGCGGTGGCGACACGAGGAAGATTATTGTGGCACGGCCTGGGGATGACGGTGATGGAGACGAGGAAGAACAGCATGAGTAGAAGGAGGAGGACGAGGAGGAGGAGGAGGAGGAGGAAGAGGGATGGGGAAGGAAGAGAAGAGGGGGAATAAGGGAGAGGGGGCGGGGAGGGTGTGGAATGGAACAGGTCGAGGGGTGCGGGGCAGCAACGTGGGGTTAGCCGGAGGAGGAGGAGGAGGAGGAGAAGGAGGAGGAGGAGGAGGAAGAGGAGGGAGAGGCGGAGGAGGGGCAGGAGGAGGAAGAGGAGGAGGAGGAGGAGGAGGAAGAAGGAAGAAGAGGAACAAGAGGAGGAGGAGAAGGAGGAGGAGGAGGAGGTGGAGGGGTTGAAGGAGGAGGAGGAGGAGGAGGAGGAGGAGGAGGAGGAGGAGAAGGACAAATCATAGTAACGAAAGCGGCAGCAGGGAGGCAAGAGTCGGCGCGTCCGCAGGCTCGACAAGGCCGTGGACCAGATGGACACCGAGGCCTTGCGTGGCTCAGGATACCTTGGCTACCTTTCAGGAAGAGAGAGAGAGAGAGAGAGAGAGAGAGAGGAAGAGAGAAAGAGAGAGACACAGGGATAGAAAGAGAGAGAGAGAGAGAGAGAAAGAGAAAACAACACAAGACAAAGAGAGAGAGGGAAAACAGCAAAAAGGCGAGGGCTGGCTGGCTGAAGGCCTGGGGGAGTCCCTGGGACCCGCGGGGACGGGGCCTCGTGGCGCGCCCTCGGCCAGAGCCTCGTGGAGGGACAGCCTCCAGGCTGCAGCACTCCTGCGCCCCACAGAGGCAAGGAGGGGGGGGGAGCCGAGTCACGGGAGGAAGGGGGCTCCCCACGTGCTGGGGAACGCGACCTTCCTCTCCGAGGCCTCTCCACGGCACGGCGCTGGGCATCATGCGGCCAGAGGCAGGGCGCGGAACGGACCCCCCCAGGGCTGCTGCCTTGCATCACCCACCGCAACAGGCAGGCGGGTCGCATGGGATGGTGTGAGGCAGGGAGAAGAGAGCAGAGGAGGGGGGAGGCGAGGAAAGCATAGCAAGGTGGGGGGCGGGATGGAGGGGAGGTCCCGGCCTACGCAACCCCTCCTCCCCAGGGGCGGCGTCCGCTGAGCGGTGGACCGTTCCTGTGGTAGGGTGGTTGCGCCGGCTCCCTGGCGCTCGGGCAGACCCGCGGCCGAGATGGAGGGGAGATGAGGAGAGAGCAGCGGGAGGGAACCATGGAGGGGAGGAGGGAGGGCAGGCTCCTCCCTCCCCGTCCCCTTGCACTGGGCTGTAATTATGCTCTACGGGTGCGGGCATTTCAAGGCAGAAGCGCGTGAGAAGCTGGCCAGGGGTTCTGATGCTCCCTCCCCGGGCCATCCGCAACAACCTTGGCCTCCTCCTCCTCCTTGCGCACCTGGACCCCCTTACGAGCAGCAAGGGCGGCCTTTCCCCTTCCTCTTTTTCTGCACGCATCCCCTTCCCCGTTCTTTTACTTCACTGTGGATTCATATGCCGCCTGGTACCTGTTATAATAAGTCTGTTCACTCTTTCCCAGTTCTCTTGGGCATGCAGTTCTCTCCATTGATTCGTTGGTCTTGCGCGCGAACTAGGGGGTGACAGGAAGCGCCCCTTGCCCTCAGCTCCACTGCCTTCCCCAGCCCTCCCTCTCCACTTCCCCTCCACTTCCCCTCCGCTCCCTCTCCCCTCCACTCCTTTACGGATCCTCGGCCGACGAAGAGGTGCGTAAAAGAGGGTTTAAACGTACCTCCTTTGTTTTACACCGTAACCCAATACACCAGTCAACCAATTACTCATCTGCCTCTCCCCTCCTTCTCTTGTGATGTCCTGTCTTCCTTTCGCCATCCTGCCCTCCCCTTCCCTGCCTCTTGGATGGAGAGAACAAGTATACGAGACGTCCCCTTCCGTTCTGATGATCAGCATTATTAGTTCACAGATCTGGCCCACATACATGCCATGTAGTAGGTAGAGAGATCTGGCCCTGAGTCTGGGCAGACGCCATGGGCCCGGGATACTGGAACAAATGCAGAGCTGCAGGCATTGATACAGAGCATATTTGCAGTGATCGTCTGTAGTTTGAGCCGTGCATCTTTACAGGGCTCAGGGTTTCGTGACTTCGAGGCTCAACATCTCGGTGTGGTAGCGGAGCTGGAGTTCAGCTCCAGCTCCAGCCCGCCCGCAATCAGGTACCACGCGGCGCCATAGCAGCGTCGTCCGCGCGTCGCCAAACGCGCATCTGCGTCCCGACGAAGTGTTGCAAGGACCGTGTCCACCACGACCCCTCCACGACCTTCCAGAAGATCATCAAGAGTTTCTTTCTGTTTTCTTCAGTACACCAGAAGAAGCCCCAATCAGTGTATTTTGCAGCTTTTCGCAGGCGCCTCAATCGGCCTTCCTCCAACCCTATTCGAATTCGAATCTACGTTATTGTCAGTTGTAGTTGTTTTGTTGTTTCTATCTCTCTTCTTATCCGTAAGGGCTTCGCCCCCTGCCGCCGGCCCCCTCTCTCGGAGAATGGGCCATGGAAGAGCTAAGTCATGAGGCCTTGGCGCTGTCGTGAAGCAGTACCGAAACTTCATGCGAAGCCGAGTCGCAATCAGCAAAACCAACTGATCACAAGAGGGGTTACCACACCTGGCGATTGGTAAGACGTGTATGGTTTAAGGGCTTGGTTACCACACCTTGCGATTACAGGGCCGAGGGAGTTTTCGCAGTTTGGGTTACCACGCCTTGCGATGGATGTGCGTGAAGGGTGGCACCGAATTTCAGAAATGTTGCAAATCCCCTGTGTTTTTGGACCCTGACCCCGCGGATCTGCATGAGGGGTGGCACCGAATTTCAGAAATGTGGCAAATCCCCTGTGTTTTTGGACCCTGACCCCGCGGATCTGCGTGAGGGGTGGCACCGAATTTCAGAAATGTGGCAAATCCCCTGTGTTTTTGGACCCTGACCCCGCGGATCTGCGTGAGGGGTGTCGATTTCGAGCCCCCCCAGCAATTCAGACAACGCGCCCAGGAGGTGCTAAAATGTCGGTTTGGGCCTCCCCCCCCCTCGCGCGGTCAATCAACTAGTTACAGTAACCAGCAAGAAGCAGAACTGTAACACTGGAAACTACAAGCTACAACTGGTACAGGAAACTGCGAACCTCGCGCCTACAGCCTGGTGGCCCCACAAGGGGGCCGGCGGATAGCGATGGCACTTCCTGTGTCATACATATATACATATATGTATGACACAGGAAGTGACCTATGTACATATGCATAGATCGTTTCCTAGTTCTTATATCTGGTACATATATACATATATGTGTACTATCATGTAGATGTTCATATATATATATACACATAGGTATACGTAGATGAATATGTATATTTTCTATTCACAGATTCACGCACTTTCTCTGTATGTCTCTCTCTCTCTCTCTCGCTCCGCCTATTTCATTCTTTGTTGTTCATCGTTGTTTGGCTTTCTTTCTTTCTTTCTTTCTTTCTCTATCTCTCTCTCCCTCTCGCTATATATCGGAGGTTGGGGGGTGAAATCGCAGTGAAAAGGAGCCCCTCACCGTGATATCGGGTTCGGTTTCACGTTCGTGTCGCGCGTGCCGGCGAGGCGAACCTGCGTGGGCGGGCGAGAGGAATGAACCCGCCGTTGCCAGGGCGAAGCCGATTAAAATGTTGCTGTCCCCCGGGTTGGCCAGCAGTTGCCCTGTGCTGTCCCGATGGTGTCCCGTTGGTGTCCCGATGGTGTCCCGATGGTTTCCAGATTTTTGCCGTGGTGTCCCGTGGTGTCCTGTGGCACGGGGGTGTCCCGTATTATGCTTTATGCTATGCAATTCTATGCTAGCGATATTGCGTTCGATAGTGCGATCGATGGTGGGATCCACTGATTGATGTCGACAGTGAGGTCGACCGTGAGCTCGATTGTGCAATTGGTATTGAGATCGGTAGTGGGGTCGATTGAGTGAGTTCGACGGTGAGATCGACCCTGAGATTGCTAGCAAGATCGATAGTGAAATCAATAGTAAGATCGATACTGGTACGGATTGAGTGGGATCGGTAGTGGCATCATCGTGATATCGATCGCGGGTTCGATCGTAAGATTGGTAGTGATACCGACTGAGTGAAATCGATAACGAAATCGATAGTGATACCGACAATGAGATCGATAGGGTGATCAGTAGTGATATCGATAGTGTGATCGATCGGGTGACATCGGTCGTGAGATCGGTCGCGGCATCAGTGATGACATCGATAGTGAGACAACTAGTGAGGGCGATCGTGAAAACGATCGTGAGATCGTTCGTGAGAATGATCGTGCGATCGATGGTGAGATCGATATTGGTAGCCGCAGTATGACCGACAGTGTTATCGATACTGAGGTCGATCGTGAGACCGAGAGTAGATGGATGGTGAGATCGGTTGCGAGATCGTTTCAATGAGATGGATGGTGAGATCGATGGCGGAATTGATCGTGAGATCGGCCGGGAACCTGGGAACACGGGAACCAAACATTGGAAACTGGGGAACCCCGCCGCCCACCGAAATCGGCCCGGAACCAGCAACCAGGAACTGGGGAACCCAGAACTGGGATCCCGAGAGCCTAGCCGCCAACCGAAATTGGCCCAGCATTTTCGCGAAAATATCAATCTCTGTTAGGATCTTTTCCGTGCAAGCACTGATTTGGGAATCAGCTTTCCCGCCAGCACCGCGATTCTTGACCTCCTCCAGACCTACTACTCGTTCGAGGCGATGGCGGCCGGCAGGGGTGCGGACTGGAAGTTCCCGAACGTTGTATGTTTCACTGGGCTGGTTGCCGAAACTACCAGACTACACCTTCAAACGCTTCTTGGAACGTCTCCATTTGCGGTGGCGCATTAACGTCATCGGCGAGGAGGATTTTGGCTCACTCCTGTAGAGTCGTCTTCTTGACCGAGCGTTCGATGTGACCACCAAAGAGGAAAAGGCATCGGCAAACGTGGACCTTGTTCGTCATCCTCCTCGTCGCAGCAACCGACTTACCATCTCATCAGCCCGCAGCGCGGAGTATCCTGGCCGACTGGGAACTTCGACGGCATGTCGGAGCGCGTCGTCGCCCGGTGGAGTTCACCCCCCTGCAGGTGCGCAGCGCCATCCCGATGGATTATTTTTCCCTCCCAAGAAATCATGCTTCGGAGGTCCTGCCAAGGTTTCCAACGCCGCGGACACGGAGGACGACGAGCCGCAGTAGATTATCCAGACTGGACAGTGCACCGGATCCTATCAGTTGCCGGAGCGACCTGTCAGACCACCAGCGATTGCATCCACCCGCGACGACAGCAAATTCCGGGGCGACGCGCGCGGCAGATGCGGGCCAACGTTTTCTCCGCCAGCTCCTGCAATCAGGCGCGTGGCGGCCGCCAGATCGTCGTGGCGAGTTTGCAGGGTGGACCTCGTCTCGTCGATCCAGGCGCGTCGACAGGTTTGGGTGGCACCAAAGTAGTTCGAGAGAGATGTGGCCATCTGCTG